AAGAAAAGAGTCTTTCTGTAACTCTGTGGTCTTTTTTATTTCCAGTTTTTCCCTACAGTAACACTGAAATTATTCCTGACTGCATGTGACTGTGGTTTGCAAGCAGTAGCTGTGCACTACCTCTGCTAGCAGCCTTCCACACCTGGGCAGAAAAATCCATGTATTTTCCTGGCTGTGCTCTGAGTGTCAGACATAACCCCCTGCCTCTCACCGTCACTTTTGGGTCACACTGCTGCAGATCCAGTTGCTACTCTGGACTGAAACTATTGTAATGTTTTTGTAATTTTTTTAATGAAATTTTTTTTATGTAATTTTTTATACTCTCCACATGGCAGATAAATAAAATGTTATTTTATAAACTAAGTGTTTCAAAAAATTTTGCTTTTTTGAGTACTTCTCTGGAGTATTTATGCTAATCCACTGATTTTGGTCACATCACATGAAGAAATTTTTATGTGGTAAAACACTGGGATTTATTGTACAAAATTGGTAGAACGTTCATGCAAACCTGAGTTGTTATTGAAAGATTTAAATATGATTACACCAATAAAATCAAGTCCATAAAATGAAAAAGTTTTCAAAATCTAAGGAACAGCCATGTAAAAAACCCAAGTAATTTTCCATTTCTTATCTACAGTAATTTTATCGAAAGTCAATCAGCTAGCCGTTATAAAAAAATCATAGTATTTCCTTTGCTGTTGTTAGGAAAATTTAAATCATTTAACAATAGCTTCTCTGTTTAGAGCTATATGTATTTAAACTTTAGATAAATGTTTTCATAGGCTTCTCTGTACAGAAATTAGTGAGTTGTAGTATGGTATGAAGAACTCCATTCCTCTTTTACCTATAACTAGGCTCAGAAGATTTTGTCATTCCTACAGCTTTGGAACCTAACTGAGAACAAATTTGTGTCACAAGCAACAATGAAAAGCTGCTCCCATCCCCTCTTACCTATTTATTTGTTTGTTTGTTTATTTGTGTTTGTACTGCAAACTGGAAAAATAAGAAGAGCTATTTACAATGTTCCTTTTTATTTTGTGAACATCAGCTCTGAGTTTCAGTATTAAAAAAAGAGATGAGGTAATATATAAAAATACTTAATGTGATTTTAAAAACATTTAACAGCTTTAATTTGATTTACTCACCCCAAATGTCTGAAACTTTGGTTCATTTACCAAATTGATGATTTTTTTTTCTCAGTACTGGCAAATTCTGGTGGGTGCAGAAAGCCATTATGCACTAAATTCTCCTGAGCAAGAACTTCAGACAATGTATTGACTGACTTTGCATAGCATAGAACAAATTCTGAAAATTGTTGGTAATGTTCCAATCAACAAACCTGTAATTTGATGATTACTTACTTCACAATGAGGACTAACTCTGACCAACAGAATACCACAGTATAGTTTCTTTCAGCTACTCTCCTCAGAGTGAACCTATTGTATTAACACTCTCTGCCTTGGATTTGCTATCAATGTATATTCAGGATTTGATTTGAACCCCTAAATGACTCCATAAATTTGGGCCTTAGCTGCTTGAAGAAGTCTTACTCCTCTTAAGATTCAGGAAGCTCAGATTACTAATGTATCTGCGCCCTCACTTTTATAAGAAGCAGATGTCCATGACAATGGATGCTCCTGGAAAGCTTTAAGAGGCCTGTGCACTTTTACAGTAGTTCACCTTTTATATTGTGATAAGTTTCCATTAGAAATTATCATGGGAATGTTTTTTTTCTACTTTGAATTTGGCAATATTCTGAATACAAAAGACATTTCCTAGTATCCACAGGAAGAAGATAGATACAGTGAAGGCAAACAGAAATAACTCCAGAAAAATGGAAGTCTCTCATTCATATTTCATGTTACCCTTTCTAAAATTAGGCAGCTAATTTAAGTAGAAGATGAAGTTTTACTGAATTCCATAAATTCAATATTAGTCAATTAGTCAAACCAGAAAAGCTCAGAAAGACACTGAAAATACTCCCAATAGCCATAAAATATACCACTTGCCATTTTAAAAAGTATTTTAAAATACAGTATCTGGAAAATTCTTTTGGGGCTGAGAAGTACTTGATGGGTTTTCTGGTAGGTAGTCTTGAGGTTTTTTGGCTTTTAATTCTAGAATGTTCATCCTTCACCATTATATTGTAATTTCACCTATTACTAAATAAAACAAATAAAACATCAGAAGACCTTTACATTCCATTGTCTCCTATTTCAGCTAAGTGAATGTACTCTGGAACTCATGACACCATACATGATTTTTTATACAGTTACATCAGAGATTCGGAATCAAGTTCTACATTCTGACAACATTAGAAATAAAAATAAATTTAAATTATAAGGAGAAAGCACCCATGCCACCTCCAGCAAAAGATCTTCAAAGAATAAGCATCAGGACAAATTTCCTAGGATGTATATATAACACTAAGTGATGAAGACTAATATGAAACTCTTCCATATTATTAAAGAAATAGTAAGTGTAAAAATATTTAATAGTTCTATGACTACAATAGAGTGAAAGGCAAATCCTCCCTCACATGAAAACAATCCACGTATTTTATTGGATTTGCATCTTAAGCACATCTCAAATGCTTAACTGATGCTGTTAAGTCAACCATTTGGCTGAGTTTTATCCAGTCATCTCTCCAGTTGACTAGACACATGAATTATATCTGCACAAATCAGATCAGCCACACAAGCAGAAAGTCTGAATGTAATTGCCTGCTTCACATTGCCTATAGGCCCTTGTGTTTGCACAATTCAATCAGCTTTCTCCAGATCTTGTTCTCCTTCCTGCAGCAGCATTGGCAGAGCACACTGCTGTCTGTACAGTCCATGCAAACTCTGCCAGTGCATGCTCATGTCATGTTTTCCTGGGATTTAGTAAAAGAGAACCCTTGGCACAACTTCCTGCACAAAAAGGATATAAAATAGCTATTAGATAACATCACACCAATCTAACATGCATTTTACCAAATCAAGGATACCAAAATTACCAAATTTTACCAAAATGCAAGGATATGAAGGATGGAAAGGTATCAAAGAGTGAAGCTTGTTAAAGCGGGTTACAACAAAAGACATTGAGCATGCACTGTAGGCAGGCTAGTAAGTTGCTCTTCATGTTAGCAAAATCTGAGGAATTATTGTGACAGACCAATTAAAAGTTCTAATTTTGGGAATGCAAGTAGTAATTGAGATGCTTCCAGGGTCAAAGTGACCGCTGGTATTTTTGAGCTTGTTCATTTGGATCTCCCAGGAACTCTCATCCAAATTAAGCATTTTTCCCTGTCTCAGAATTGATAAGCCAACAAATGGAAAAGATGTATGCAAATTCATTTACTTTAGCACAATCATAACCTATTACAGCAAAATATGTACCCAGTCTCATGGCGCCTTAAAGAAATCATTGTAGTCTGTTAGTAATCTGAGAACTGGCCTGATTCAGTAATAGCTTAATAATGTTGAAGGTTCTGGTCTTCATTAAGACTTTCTTAATAGGTATGTGAAATCGGTATATGAAATTCCAGATCTCAATTAAATGGTCAGAGATAGGCAACAATTTAAAAAAAAAGATACATGTATCATTCATAATGTTATTTGGAGTGCCATGCAAAGGACTAAAATTTCATGCAGGCTGGGAGACTTAATGTACGTTCTGAGAATTTATTCCAAGGTTTGATTGATGGAGAAAATATTGAGGGGGCACACATTGTCCTCTCCTGAAGCCACTGTCACTAGGTGGAGTAGCTCTTACAGGTGCAGCAGATGCTTCTCCACTGCACAGGAAAACTTCAACGCTGGTCGGCAGCATCACTGCATTTGATCTTTGCATAGCTTTGAAAATGTTGCTAGGTCATATTTACATACACAGTAATAGCAAGAATACTTGCTTTATAAGAGAATTTCCACAATTTTCCACAATCTTGCCCTTCTTCTCTGGTGAGGCCATATCTGGAGTGCCATGTCTGGTTCTAGGCTTCACAGAACAAGAGAGTCATGGAGCTCCTGAAGCAGATCCAGCAAAGGCCTACAAAGATGATTGAGGGATTAGATCGTTCTTATGTGGAAAGACTGAGGTACCTGGGCCTGTTCAGCCTCGAAAAAAGACAGCTGAGAGGGGACCTCATCAATGTTTATCAGTATCTGAAGGGAGTGTAATCAACAGGATGGATCCAGACTCTGCTCGGTTGGTGCTAAGCAATAGGACAAGAGGCACTGGGCACAGACTGAAACACAGGAGGTTCCACTCAAACATCAGGAAGCACTTTGTTACTGCGAAGGTGACCAAGCACTGGAACAGGTTGTCCAGAGAGGCCGTGGAGCCTCCTTCACTGGAGATACTCAAAAGCCGCCTGGACAGAATCCTAATGTGCTCCACGGGGTGCTGCCTGAGCCGGAGTGTTGAAATAGATGACCCTACCAGTGGTCCTTCCCAGCCTTACCCACCAGGTAATTCAGTGATTTAAAAATATGACTGGATCAAGGCTTTAACAAATACTAAAATGGCATTAGTCACTGCATAGCTGATGCCTTAAATAAATTCCAATGGCAGACCTTTATCACCAAAGGGTAATACAGAATTCAACGGGCATAAATGAGCACTTAATAATAAATGCACTGCAGAAATTACTGTTTCTATTGAATTCGCCTGTGTTGCTGAGGCTGCAAACAGTGAATACCGTGCTAGGAACCGCTGGAAGAGAAACGCCCGACCAGACTGAAAAGCCTCAGACAAAGAGGGCTCGGGAGAAGATCAGGTAACTTCCAGCACAAGGAGCCACGGGGGGTAAAGAGAGCGGGGGACACGACACGGGTGTCTCGGGTTCCCGGAGAAGGGGAGCGGACGGTCCCGGACAGCCGCGCGGGGCGGTGGCCACAGAGCAGGCGAGGCGCTGGGGCCGCGCTGGGGCCGCCCCGGGCGGGCCGCACCCGCCTCCCGCGGCAGAGACGAGGGCGGGCCGGGGCGGCGGCGCGGCAGGGCAAAGGGGCAGCGGCAGAGCGCGGCGGGCCGCCATGGTGCTCGTGGTGGTGATGGGCGTCAGCGGCTCAGGGAAGTAGGTACCGGGCGGGGGGCGGAGCAGCGGCGGCGCTGCGGCGCTGCCGGGGACTCGGCGCTGCCGGAGCCCCGCGGTGCGGCTCCGGGTCCGTGTGTTAATCGGCCCTTTGTGCTTCCCCGCAGGACCACGGTCGGGTCGCGGCTGGCTGAGAAGGTAGGGGCGTGTGGAGCCACCGCCTAGGAGGCGTGCCGGGGCAGGCAGGCACCTCCCCGCGCCGGGCCGACGGCCTTTTCCCGGGCTGCTGGCCTCCCGAGCCGGGTTCGGCCGATGCAGTGATGCCTGCACGGACTTCGGCTCACTGCCGTGACGCAACAGCTGTTGCTGCTACTAAGCTGCCTTAGTGTTTTTTGTTGGTGGTTGTTTTTTTTTTTTTTTTTTTTTTTTGCTAATCAGCATGCTATAAACGGTGATTCATACTGTGGTGCAAGAAGCCTGTAATTCCTTAAGTGTCGTCTTTGTAAATTCTGAAGTCCTTGTTGCCTCACCTGACTAAATCACCTGACTTAGCTGAACGATCCATAATTAATTTATTTTTTTCTTAGTTGGGATGGAAATTCTATGATGCAGACGATTATCATCCTCTAGAGAATAAGAAGAAAATGGAAGAAGGGATACCACTAAACGATGAGGTACCTTGAATAAGCTCTGAAAAAACTGTTGTCCACACACTTATCTCTGTAACTTCATGCACATCTTGTTGAAGTAGATTGTGGTGTACTACATAGATTAGTCTAACTGTAAACATAAGTCTGCATTTGCTAAGGTAAGGGAGGCTTCTTTTGTCAAAAAAGATTCTGGATAAAAAAGTAGTTCATGAAATGCTTGTCAGTTCGAAAGTGGTATGCTGCTGCTTCAGGATTTGTGAGAAACCTCCCCCTCTACAGTCCACACACAGAGTTGCAGTTTTGGATTTGAATCATAGAATATCCTGAGTTGGAAGGGACCCACAAGGACCATAGAATCCATCGTGTGGCCCTGCTTAAAACAACTCAAAAAATTTGTTACCCTTCTCTCAAATCACTTTTCATAATTTATCACCACTCGTGGTTAACTTGAGAGGTTGTGCTAGGGGAGGTTCAAGTTGAGTATTAGGAAAAATGTCATCACTGAAAGAGTAGCTAAGCATTGGAATTGGCTGCTCAGAAAAGTGGTGGAGTCACTTCAACAAGGTGAAGTGTCAGCTCCTGCCCTTGGGTCACAACAGCCCCAGGCAGGACAACAGGCTTGGGGCAGAGAGTCTGAAAAGCTGTCGAGCAGCAAAGGGCCTGGGAATGCTGATTGGCAGCAGGTGAACCTGACCCAGCACACACTCAGGTGGCCCAGAAGGCCAATGTCATGATAGCCTCTATTAGCAACAGCGTGGCCAGCATAACCAGGGCAGTGACTGCCCCCCTGTACCTGTACCTCACACTGGTGAGGCCACACCTCGAGTGCTGTGTCCAGTTCTGGGCCCCTTAATTCAGGAAGGACACTGAGGTGCTGGAGTCAGTCAAGAGAAGGGCAAAGGTGCTGGTGAAGGGTCTGAACACAAGTTCTGTGAGGAGCAGATGAGGGAGGTGGAGGTGTTTTTACCCCGGAGAAAAGGAGGCTTAGGGGAGACCTTATCAGTCTCTACAATTGGAAAGGAGGTTGGAACCTCTCTAGAAAGGAGGTTATGGTGAGATGGGAGTCAGCTTCTTCTCCCAGGTAACAAGGAATAGGACAAAGGAAAATGAGCTCAGGTTGTGCTAGGGGAGGTTCAAGTTGAGTATTAGGAAAAATGTCATCACTGAAAGAGTGGCTAAGCATTGGAATTGGCTGCTCAGAAAAATGGTAGAGTCAACATCCCTAGAAGTGTTTAACAAAAACGAGTAGACACTTGGTTATTCAGTCAAAGGTTGGACTTGATGATCCTAAAGGTCTTTTCCAAGCCTAATGATTCCACAATTCTGAATTGCAGCATGTGCCTGATAGCACTGACCAAATGCTTTGGAACTCTGTCAGACCGGTGCTATGACTACTTCCCTGGGGAGTGTGTTCCAGTGCCCAACCACCCTCGGGGGTGGGGTCTTATTCTAATATCTAATGTAAACCTCCCGTGACACAACTTCAGGCCATTGCCTCACTGGTCACCACAGAGGAGAGATCAGTGCCCACCCCTCCTCTTCCTCTCACAAGGAAGTTATAACTGCAGTGAGGTCTGTCCTCAGTCTCCTCTTCAGGCAGAACAGATCAAGTGACCCTCAGCCATTTCTCATATACCTTCCCCTCAAGGCCCCTCAGCATCCTCAAGGCCCTCCTTTGGATGCTCTCTAATATATTTATAGTCTTCTTATATTGTGGTCCCCAATTTATATTGTGGTCCCCAAAACTCCACACAGGACTCAAGGTGAGGCTGCCCCAGTGCAAAGCAGAGCAGAACAATCCCATCCCTTGATGGGCTGGCAATGCTTGAAGTACTAATAGCATAATGGTACAGCTTGAAAAAGGATTTTTTCCATTTGCCATCAATTAGGACAGTGGTTTTACAGTTAAAGCCACTTTTCCTGTACAGAATCAGGAAGAATTAAAAAAGTTAATGTCCACCACTTCTAGAGAAATACACACTTATGACTGTAGATAAAGACTTTTAAACAAAGAATATAAACTAAACAATCCTGGTGAACATATGAAATCAATCTAAAAGCATATGGAGCTTAGAAACAGGGCAAGATGCAGTAATAGGATATTTTGAAAAAGACTTCAAGAATCTAGCTGTAATAGAAAAATTTTGCAAACCTCCTACTTTTTTTTTTTTTTTTTTTGGCAAGGCTTCCACTTTTTTTTCAGTCCCTCAAATCTTCTGGGAGATGTCCTTAGCCAATTTAAACCGAAAAAAAAATATTCTAGATTCTGGTTAAAAACTTAGATGTTTCACTAGTGGTTGAAGCCAGAACAGAGTCTGGATCCATCCTGTTGGTACCCTCCATTCAGATACTGATAAACACTGATGATATCATCTGCAGCAGCATTATACACTTGAATGACTAAAGCACTGGTGTGTGGTGCTCAGCAAGAGGAAAGCATCTCTTCTGAAAAATTAGAGGTGCAAAATTGTGAGGGCGTTCTTGAATGCCTAGGGGAAGTTACTGTGTAATGATAGCAACAAAAAATTGTTGCATTTATTTGTCCATGTTATCATTTGTTGTGCTTACCCAGCACTAACAGCATTGAAACGTTAAATGGGAGCAGTTGTTTCGTGCTCATTAGGCATGACTGAAGTTTGCAGCAGCTTAAAATTTCAGATTAAGTAAGCATCTGACTGATCACTCTTGTTTGCTTAAGTAATGGGCAAAAGTTTTGAAAAATTGTGATTGTGGTTACATTTATTTGTGAGTGCTATTGACATAAATATAATTATTGCAGATAACTAAATTTAGATTTGTTTCTGAAAGCTTCAACTTGGATCCAAAATGGGGATGGGGTGTGTGTACGACACTATATCAGGAAAAGAAATAACAACTCTAGCTGTACATTTGAATAGTATAATAGAAGCAAGAGGTAAGTGGATTGTCCTTCAGATATTTACAAGGTGCATGCTGCACTTGCATACATATTACTTCCATCATATACTTGTAAAATAAAAAGTACTATTCCACCAAAAGTGTCCTATTCATAATATGCCTAGCACTTCTTATAGCCTTCAGACAGTGGGAGCAAATCTATATAGGAACAAAGAGATTAAAAACTGAACTTGCTGTACAGTTTAATGCTAATATTTACCTCTAGTCAAATATCTGAGATGCTAGAAGCAATTGTTTCAAAGTAATTTCTGAAGAATTTTTAACTATCTTGCTTGCTTTCTAGGACAGGATTCCTTGGCTTTGTGCACTGCATGATATACTAAGGAGGTAAGAGATATCTAGTGTTTAAATGTTTTAGCTAAAGACAGAAATACCAGAAGTGTTTTTCCCCACTGCATTGCAAAGCAGAAATGTAAGTGGTAGTGTAGAGAAATTCTGCAGAGAGTAAAGTCATTTTATTTTTACTAATCTAAACTGTCATAGTAATTGCTGATGATGAGCTAATCTCTGAGAATTAAAATGGGAAATTGTTACAAATGATGGTTGTTTTCTACTGTGTAAAAATAATTGCAAGGATCCAGTTTATTAATAAGCCTGACATTAGCTACTTACAAAGAACATAACCTCAAAATACACCAGTAACAACAGTAGGATAAAATACTGTTATTTTGAATAAGATACAGTGTCAGGTTTGTTTGACACTGTTTGCTTGAGTGTTGCTCTGCTAATTTGCAGATGACACCAAAATGGGAGGAGTAACTGATGCAGAGGGACCTTGAAAGGCTGTAGAAATTGATTGGTAGGAACCTTTTAAAAATGCAGCACTGGTATGGATAGTGAGGGACACTCAGCTGGAAAGCAGCAGAAAAGGGCCTGAGGGAGCTGTGGTGGACAGCCCCAGCTGGACATATGCCAGCAATGTGCTCTTCTGGCAAGGCAGGCCAGCCAAATCCTGAATTCTGGGCTATATTAGACCAAGTATTGCCAGCAGGTCAAAGGAGGTGATCCATCCCCTCTCCTTTTGCACTTGTGAGGCAACACCTGAACTGCTGTGTCAGTTCTGGGTTCCTCATTATGAGAGAGGCATGGACATACTGGAGAGCATCCAGCAAATGATGAAGGGACTGAAGTGTGTCCCAAACAAGGAAAAGGTTGGGAGGTTGTGTAAAGCCTGTTTAGCCAGGCTTTACACTTGCTTGTGCACATTAGGTGATCATATCTCACTGGAGCTGAGATACCTAATTTCTCACTGAGAAATTTGTCTGGATTGATTTGCTGGATCCATTGCTTCATGTTATGTGATAGCTCAATGCCACTGCCCAGCTCTGGAAACTTTATAAAATCAACTATATTTTAAATTAGCCTAATGCCAATATTTAATTATTAGTACTTATTAGTAGCTGAGGCTGTCACTGACTTACCTAGAAGTTCTTACTTCCCTTTGAACCAAAATCTGATGACCATAGAATGATTTTTTAATAGGTGTATACCTGATTTTAATTTTATTACAAAATATATTTTCTTAGGTAGGAATTTTATTCACTCTTCATAGAGACAACTAATTCTGGATTTGCTTTTTAGTGGAGCAGGCAAACCCAGAGTTAAATGCTTTATTTGAAGAAACCTTGTCAGCAGAAAATAAATACAGTGAATACTGTGCATTCACTGACCTGCAATCCCTTGTTTAGGGTGAAGTTAATATAGATGCAATGCTATCAACGAGTTGCAGGAAACATAAATTACAGTTAAATCTGAGACAGTGACAGCAGGTGTTGAAAATATTGTGTATTTAAGAACACAATGTGTATTTAAGTGGTCTGTATTTCTTATCAGCCACTTACCCTTAGAGAGAATAGTATAGTAATTTTATGGATAAGGGATAGGTGTTTCTATGGATATTTATTTCCTGTTGTCAGCAATTAAGGACATGAGCTTGACACTTCCTTGTGCTAGAATTGAATTGAATTTAGGAAAAGACTGGTTGCTTAGAAAAGGCTATAGAAAGAGTCCCTAAGACTGAGATTTTATCAGAAGGTTGGCTAGCTTGGCCTCACTTTCAAATCACATCTTTACCTGGACTGGAAATTTGGGTTTCAAAATCCTGTCAAAATTACTCAAATACCACTGTCACAATGCCACTACTCCCATGGCTGGCCTTCTTGAGGAGCTAGGGCATGTCTACCTTGTTTAGCAGAACTAACAAGTCATTTTTGTTATACCACACGTAGATATGTAAAGGTTTTTGGGGTTGTTTTTTTTTTTTATTTTTGGTAGAGAAGACACATCTAGACAAGATACAATTCTGGCCTGTTCTGCACTGAAAAAGATGTACAGGCGTGTGTTAATTGGTGGAGCATCTGCAATTGAAAGCAACCACCCAGAGCAACCAGGAGAAAACCCAGCACTGAAGATCCTCTTTGTTCATTTGGATGGACCTAAGGACATAATTGCTGCCCGCTTGAAGAAGCGGAGAGGTCATTTTATGCCACTTGAACTTCTCCAGTCTCAGTTTGATACTCTAGAGCCACCCAGTGCACCAGAAAATTTCATTACTGTCAGTCTAGAAAAACCTCTCCCAGAAATACTCCTACAGATTGAGACTGCCATTCTTCGGGGTGAGGCTTTGCCAGAATAATTTTCTGAATGACACATACAGAAATTCCCTGAAGGATAGCAGGGCAAAGAGACAGAATTTTAATTATCGAATTGATTATTAAATCAAACCAACTTATTTTTAAGAGCTGGTTTACTACTCTTTTTTTTTTATCATGGCTCTGTAAAAGACATATAAAATGTCTTTACATCTTTTGCATATATAAGATGCAAGAACTGTTAACTTTTTAAGCCCTTCACTCTATTAAGTTAAAGTTCTCCTTTTAGTAAGAGCTTGCTTTTGAAAATTCTCGCAAGGGTCACCCAGAATAATTTATTTTCTTAATATTTACTCTCTCCAACACTGAGATGGGCACATCTACTATTACAAGATTAAATAATTTAGAGCTTTGTTAAAAATAATGTCATTTTCCTAGAAGAGGCAGGAACATGCATGATGAAGTTCCGTACGTGACACTACCCCTGTCTCACTGGTGGATTTTCATCGAGTTGTAGGTTCTGTGTTTGTATTCCTGTTGACCTCAGCAGAGCACTGATGACTTAATGAGAATTTTTCTGATCTCTTACTGTATGTACCCGCCACCAAACTGAAAAATGTTAGAAAAAAAAAGGTAGTGGTGGTGATGCAGTATACAAAATTTAATTGAATGGAAAGCTTTAGAAATAAAGTATATGTGGCATCATACTGACTCTGAACTTAGAGCTTTCATGTACAAAGTGTACACATTGCAGTCAAGTGTGAGTCAACCAGTAATTTAAGGTACTGAATTTAATGCAAGGTTGATAGACTTTCCTTATTTTTGAAAACTTACTTTTTGCAGTTGGATCTTCTCCTTCACTTCCCAGTGCTGGTGGGTACCTCAGTGCTTGTCAATGCAATTGCTTTAAAGCTTTTGATCAAACTATTCCTAATATGTATCTTTTTTGATAAAGATGAGAAGAAAATTCCAATTTCCCAATCAGTCACCTAGCTCACAGAATTTAAGTTTAAGACCATTTTTACCACCAAGGTGTTTTTCAAAAAGTACTTCATGTTGTGTTATACAAGACATGCCTTTTCAGCTTTATGTTATAAAAACTTCAGATAGTTTGTGGAAGAAAGATTTGAGTCTTGTCCAAATGGAGACATTTCCATGTGCTGTCACACATGGATTATTTTTAGTATGTCATGCATATTATTTTTTTTTATTCCTGGGATGATAGATGAACTCTTGTAGAAGAACACCTCATGTCTGAAAGCATCTTTAGTGCAATTTTTACCTGGGTAAGTAGTTGAAAAACATTAGTCATGGTTCTCAGTAGAGAGATGGTCATGGTTCTATTATGTATGGAAATAGTAAAGGCTTTGTGGTTTACTAGATAAACTACTGTGCTTAAATTAGTGCAATAAATGGGCATTAGCTGACTGAAAGCAGCAGTTTTTAAGTTAGGATTTTAGGCATTAACCTACCCAGACATAGTGTTTTCCAGTTTATTTGTGACCAGAAGAGAGAATAGCAGGCAGTTACCGGTTTTAGTCTACTGCAGGGTGCTCTTACCTCAGAGCCTCAGAATTTGTTCCAAGAGCCAGGGTGCCAGGTGAAGACATAGAGGCAAAGTTAAGTGCAAGAGACAGGGATGTCTGTATGCTTAATACCCTCAAATTTCAGAGACCCCTTCAGACCAAGTGACTTGTCAGATCTGTACAAATTTTGTAGCTATGAAAATCACAGACACAGCACCCTCTTGTGGCACTTCTGTTAATGAGATCTTCATCTTTTCCAATCCCACCTTTTACAAACAGTTGACTAATGTACCCATTATAAAATACAGATTTATGCTTACTTCTTTCACACACAATAAAGCCAGACCAGGACACTCTACAGCAGCTGCATCCTCTCACGCGCAGATACAATCAGGCCTTCAAATAATTTTTTTTTTTTAAAGGGACATCTTTAAGTGTGAGTTCTAAGAAGGCCAGACTGATTTTCAGATCTACTTGTCCACATTTATAGAATACCCTCAAAATGGCTTCACCACTTTCACCACCAACAAAAAATTGTATTCAACAGTTAAAAAATAATTCTCTTTCAGAAAGTTTTATGTAAGCAACTTGGATTTTGGAAAGCTTCTAAACAAAGTTTGTACTTACAGGCAGTTCATGCTTCTTCAAATTAGGTCAGGGTCTTTCTTAGTCTTTGCTTCTATGTTGGGAATATTTCCTTCCCTTACACTTTTAATATATTCGCATTTTGCTTTTACTTAAAAAATACTGCTAAGAAGGTTGTTGTCAACCTAATCAGTTGTCTGTTACCTGCTATTCTGAAGAGACAACAAAGCATTATTTCTGTTCAGTTATATTCTGTGCATTACAAATTAATAGATTAAGATGTGAATTACTGCAATACTAACAACATAAAACTACTCTCAGATTTTAATCAAGTTGTGCACGTGTGCATTGGAAGAAAAAGGTAGCATAACAATCCCTACCCAAACTCAATTCTACAACATTTAATTTCCTTGATTTTGGTTTCATTTGGGGTTTTTTTTGTTGTGAGGGTATACTGTTTGGTTTTGTTGTTGTTGGTTTTAAACTAACACTGCTATTCTAGGGATGTCATATTCAGGTTAGTTGGACAGGCTATTAATATTTAGCACAGCTTATCTGGATGCAAGTGCTGTGTGTATATTTTGAAATGTATTTAGTAAATGCAGCAAAAACTGAGGAGGAAACACCTGGAGTTAGAAATTGCTGTCTGTCTCTAAGCACAAATTATCTATGCAAGGTACATGCACTATACATCCTCATGAATTTATGCTAAGCACAGTTAGTAACATGCTGTGTAAATACTGTACCTACTACAGCATCAAGTGCAAACATTTTTCAGTGCTAAAATGAGGAAATAAAAATGAAATGCAATCTATCCCAAACTGTGCAAGTTTTCTTACAGGCAAAGCTGCCTGCCACCTCAACTATAAATTGTTAAGTGTTTTGGGTTTTTTATCATTAATATTTATTTTATTATGCCAGGTTGTGCTGTTGGAGAAGGGGGGAGGCTACAGGGGTGGCTTCTGTGAGAAGCTACTGGAAACTCCCTCCACCCCCTGTAGAACCAATCCCAGCTGGCTCCCAGACAGATGGGAATTGCTGGCCAAAGCTGGGCTAATCAGAAATGGTGCAACACTCCTGTGATAATAGATTTAAGAAGGGGGGGAAAAAACATGATTGCAAAGATGAAACTGCAGCCAGAAAAGAACAGGATGAGAACATGTGAGAGGAACAACTCTGCAGTCACCAAGGTCAGTGCAGAAAGAGAGGGAGGAGGTGTTTCATGCACCAGAGCAGAGATTCCCCTGCAGCCCCTGGTGCAGCCCTTGGCGAGGCAGCTGTGCCCTGCAGCGCATTGGAGCCCATGAGGATGCAGAGACCATCCTGCAGCTGGTGGAGGAGCCCCCGGCTGGAGCAGGTGTATGTCTGAGAGGAGGCTGTCACCCTGTGAGAAACCTGTGCTGGAGCAGAGTCCTAGCAGGGACCTATACACCTGTGGAGAGAGGAGCCCATGCTGGATCAGGTTTCCTGTAGGATGTGATGCTGCAGGAGACCCACACTAGAGCAGCGTGTCCATGAAGGACTGCGCCCCATGAACAGTGACTCACATTGCAGCAGTTTGTAGAGAACTGTTGCCCATGACTGAGATGCTGGAGAAGTTCTTGGAGAACTGTCTCCCATGGGAAGGAACCCCTGCTGGAGCAAGGGAATAACTCTTCCTAAGCAAGTTTTTTCTGCCAAGGGGAATAAATCTCCCTCGGCAGAAAAAACTTGTGATGAACTGACCATAACCCCTATTCCCTGTCTCCCTGCACTGATGGGGATAGGAGGTAGAGCTAGAAAGGAGGGGAGGAGTAGGGGAAGGTGTTTTAAGGTCTGGTTTTACTCCCCATTATCCTGCTCTGATTTTGTTACTAATAAATTCAACTAATGTATCTCATTCCAGCCAGTTTTTCCCATGATAGTATTTGATGAGCAATGTCTCCCAGTTCTTATCTCAACCCATTAACCCTTTTTTATATTTTCTTGCCCCTGTCCAGCTGCAGAGGGGAGGGATGCAGTAGCTTTCATGGGTGCCTAGCATCCAGCCAGGGTCAACCCAGTATATCCAGTCACTGAACCAAGAAGAAAATTAGGCAGACCACATCCTTTACAAAACCAGCCATTTTGCAGTCATACTCCCAATACTGAATGTACGCATTCTGAGTCTTTTAAATGATAACTTCAGTTCAGATCATCATAACTTTTAGATTTCTTTGTTTTGGCATCAGTTACATTTTCTAGCAGGAGTTTGATGATCAGGCAAGGCAGTTTTGCAGACAATCCTGTCAGGTCATTTGATCCACAGCAGAGGAAAAGAAGAAAGCAAGAAAATGAAGAGACAACCCTCAGGCACACATGCCCTTCTAGTCCATAATGCAGGCTGCAGATTTCAAGTACAAGTTATCTAAGTGCTCATCTGAAAGAAGAGATAGATGACAACTCTGAAGAGAGAATTTTCAAGAGAGATGGATAAAGGGGCAAGGGGGAAAAGTGGGGAGGGGTGAACAGAGAGAAACATTGTAACATAATCTTAAACCAGTAAGTGTGGGTTTTCTTTCATCATTAAAGATGAAATAAAAAGTCTATCCTATCTATAAAGGGTGTTCTGCTTATTATATTTTCAGACAAAACTAAAACTTCTATTAAAAACAGCTCAGTGTTTTTACCACTAGAAAGCCAGTTTATTTGACAGTAGTCACTGATAAATATTGATTCTACTTCAAGAAGTAAGCTTAGCTAAAGGCTTGGTATAGAATTTAGGTCAAACTTACATCTCCTGTTGAATTGCAATGAGATTTTACTTCAAATATATTGTCTCTTAGTTTGTAACATGCAACTGAAATGCTTAAAAAGGGTGAGCTGAATGATGTCTCGAGAAAGTATTTGTGCTAGTTAGATTCATTGATTTAGTATCTTGGTAAAAACTGTTCTCTTCCCCACATCACCCTTGCCCTTCCATCTGACAGACTTTTTGGATGTCAGGGACTGTATTCTCAAATACATCTGCCTATTGAATGATGAGGGAGTCTGAACTATTTTTTAATTCAAGGTCCCAGTAAGGCACACTTAAGTTGAATTAGTTTCTTTGGAGATCCTAATAATCACTGTGAAAATAACTGTAAAAAAGTAGAGACAATTCTACAGAAACTACTTGCTCTCCATCTGTCCTTATCCAACGGTCCTGTAACCTCCCTCTGCCTGAAGATCAGAATGAAATGATGAACAGAGGCAAGAGCTTGCTTGGAACGACAGGCCAAGATGCCTCCTTGCCCATCTCACCCTCCTTTTAGGTTCCTCTCTGTACAATAGTTACAGGTAAGGAAGGTCATGCAACAGATGGTGAGGATGAAGGTCCTTCTCCAGGGAGAGGCCAGACAGCTCATAACAAGATCAGTTCCATGAGAAAGAAAATAATGGTTGTAGTGGTAGATGGTTCCCGTCCAATATGCTTCTAAGAATATTCCCCTCAAGGAAGTTTATGGCACCCCTGGGGTCAAGGTTAAAGGAAGTCACCAGGAAATTTCCCAGCCCGGTGCAGTGCTCAGACTACTACCCACTGCTGATCCTCCATGAGAGTGGTGATGAAGTCACAACATGTAGTCAGTCCAAAGGCCATCAAGAGACTTCAAAGCCTTGGGACAACTGGTCCCAAGGGAATCAGGGGCACAGGTTATTTTTTCCTCCATTATTCCATGTGCAAGTAGTGATTCAAAGAAACAAATGGATCGAGTCTATTAACGTGGGCTCTGAGGCTCATGCCACTGCCCAAATTTTGGGTTGTTGGACAGTGGGATAGCTAAGATAGCACCATTCTCGCTGGTATCAGATGGGATCAGAAGCATCACCTCTCTCAAAAGGAAAAAAGGGTCTTTGGTAAAGGGTTAGCAGTCATTGATACAGCTTTAAACAATTTATGATTGGGAGGAGGGAGGTATCATCATATTTAATAGGATAAGGTGTGGGATGACTTGCCATCCCACAAGTCAGCTGAGTTATTTAGGCGAGTTATTAGTCAGTTAGGTCAGTTTCTATCAGTTAGGTGCCAGAGCCAGCAAGAGACATCCAGAGTCTGGAGAGGGATTGCAGGTCAGCAGGAGAACACCTGGAGGGCAGCACAAATGGATTCTAGCCACTCCAGAGAGAAGGTAGTTTTCTGGGGGACCCAATTTAGATGCATCTATCCTAATACATCCAGCATAGAGAATATACACATATGCATGCCTGCACGTCTACAATCTTACTGGCATCATGGAACATGGTGACAACTCCTATGACTGGAGTGTTGGAATGGAAGGATACAGTCTCTTCAGGAAGGACAGGCAGGGAAGATGAGGAAGAGGTGTCAACCTCTCTGTCAGTGGCCACCTGGAGTGCATGGAGCTCCACCTGGAATGGACAAGGAGCTAACTTAGAGCTTTTGGTGAGGATTAAAGGGAGGGCAAGCACAGGTAACTTTATAGTAGAGGCCTGCTACAGACCACCTTACCAGAAAGACCAATGAAGCCCTCCACAAGCAGAGAAGAAAAGCCTCACATTCACAAGCCCTGGTCCTCATGGACAATTCCAACCACTGCAACAGGAAAGTGTTGATTGGCTTGAGAGGGTCCTGCAGAAGTGGGGCAGTCAGTCCTGTTCTGAGCCAACTTCCTTTTCCTTGCCAAGTTCTTAAGCTTGTAAGTCTGCCTTGAGATTCATGCTTAGTGCACCTGTGTCAAGGGTCAAGTTCCAGACACTTCACTAAAAGGGGTTCCAGGACTCCACAGTCCACTAATTCCCTCACTTCCTGGAGGGCTCTAAATAACTGACTACACACATGTGAACAATACAGCATGAATGGCACAAAAAAAATCTATTTTACATGAGAGGCATATACCAGGTAAACCATAAAAGATAGGGGATTGGTCCCCAGCATTCTCCCTGTCGACCCCAGATCCAGACTATCCACAGCAGCAGGACCAATGCAGGATCTAAAGACTGACATTTTTCTTTCTCTTTTCCACCTTTTTCTCTCCTGTTTTACCCCAGCAATCATATTCTACCATTTACTCAACACATGAAGTTTACTGTGAGATTTGGGAGCTAGTCTGAAAGTTTGTTGTAGAAGTTGGAGAGCTTGTTAGCCAACTTTTTACAGCTAAATAGTAGGTTAATTTCTGGAATTAAGGCTACTATATAGATATGTGGACCTTGTTGAGACAGACAAGAATTTACAAGAAACCTCACACACACCTCTGGGTTGTGACAGCCTATTGGAGGCTCAGGACAGTAGAGCACATGTATTCCAGGAGGTTCACTGATGACAACTGCCCTCTCCAACTGATAAAGAAGCCAAAGAGGAAAGGTCCTAGGCAGAATAATCTTCTCAGCAACAAGGAGCTGATGGGGAATGTGGATCCCAAAGGCAGGCTGAGATGCAGTGACCGTGAAACAGTGGAGATTGAGATCCTTGGGGCAACAAGGAGAGTGGAAAGCAAGATAACTACATTGGACTTCAGGAGAGGGGAATTTGGCCTCTTGGAGGATCTCTCTGGTAGAATACCATGGGACAGAGCCCTAAGTGTAGAGGGCTGGATGACATTCAAGGATTGTTTCTTCAAGGCTCAAGACTAATGTGTCCCAACAAAGAGGAAATTAGAGAAGAATGTCAGGAGGCCTGTATGGATGAACAAGGAGCCCCTGAACAAATTTAAAACACAAACAGGTACATGCTTACAGAGCATGGGAAGAGGGAAAGTTAGCTTGGGAGTAATACAGAGAAACTGTCCAAACAGCCAGGGAGATGAAATTATTGCTGTTGTTGTTATTATTAATATAATGAGACAGAGAGAAAGGAGTAAAACTCAAGAGAAACAAATGATGCACCGTACAGTGGCTCAGCACTCACTGTCTGATACCCAGCCTGTTCTCTTCACTGGCAAATACTCCAGCCACACTGCCCAAATTCCAGAAGGTAAAAGCAGGGAGATGGTTAGGAAGGCTAAAGCATTGACAGAAGTAAATCTGGTCAAGAACATCAAGAGTAACAAAAATCTTTAGGTACATTAGCGTAAAAGATTAGGGAACATGGGGTCCTTTCAGGAAGGATTTGAAAGACCTGGTTATGTAGGACATAAGCTGAGGTACTCTATTTTTTTACCTCAGTCTTCACCAGCAAATGCTCCAGCCACACTGCCCAAGTCACAGAAGGTGAAAACAGGGATTGGGAAAATGAAGAACTGCACTCTGCAGAAGATCAGGTTTGAGAACATCGAAGGAACCTGAAGATGCACAAGTCCATTAAACTGACACAAAAGAGCAATAAAAACGAGATTCATTTCAACTTTTGTTCTGCAATCCCTACTTCATCTAAGCTAAAAGTCTTCAACATCATCCATCTCTTATTCTCCTCTGTCCACCTCACACCACAGGAGTTGTTAACCAGTTTTAGCGCAGAAATGGTAAGTATTGCCAGAACTCGAGTTCACTCAAATGCTTTTAAGATGGACTGTCATCTTGATTTTTAGGTAATGAACAATTGCAAACACACTGAAACAAGATGCTTAAAGATTTTTTTAATTCATTTATTACCTGTGCACAAGAGAAGTAACTACCAATAGAAACTCAAAAGATATACAGTATTTTTTTACTTGGTGGTTAAAAGTAATTAGAGTATCACATGACCATGAATAGAAGTAATTTCTCCAATTATAAATCAGAATACATGTAAAAATCTCAGTGGAACAAGCCAAATAGCCATAGAAGCAATTCCAGCGCACAAGGCTGTGGCTCTTTAATTTGGACAATGACAAAAGTAATTTACAGTTAAATCTGTGAATATTGAAATAATGTTATAATGCAAGTTTCTGTACAGTTAAATGTAAAGAGACAACCAGAACAGTAATTCTAGCATATTTTAACTGAAGTTGCTTAAGCATTTTTTCTCAGATAGTTACCAAAGATCCTGGGCAGTTCTACACCAAATTCAAGTCCTATGATGTTTTTTTTTTTTTGTCGGTTTTTTTGGAGTTTTTTGTGGGTTTTTTTTTTTTTTTTTTTTGCTTGTTTGTTTTTTGGGGTTTTTTTTGTGGGGTTTTTTCTTGTTGCTTTGGGTTTTTTTTTGTTTTTTCATTGCTTACAATTTCACTCTATTGTATTGTGTACATCTCTAGAAATGAGCTGTCTCTGTTGTATATATTGTGTTTATACCTTAGACAAATTAAAGTAAAAGATGGTAGATTACTCAAGTGGTATAAATCTTCCAGCATTTTGCTAGTCAAGAGAATAAAACATGCTAAAATCACAATAAGCAGTATTGGTACCCACAGCTTCAATAATTTGTTTCCTTTTTAATGTGTAATCTACATAAATTACTATTGAAGGATACTGTTTAAGTAGTAAATAAATTGGCCATTTGTAGGTCAGACAAAACTTGTTCATCCAACTGTGAAAGCTGATACTGTTTCCAAAAAATCACAAATAATGCTGAACAAAAGAACTGATGCACTCAAAAGTGAACATGCATTGATTCCCAAAGTCTGAAGAAAACTACTGCACTCCACCTTCAAATGCATCAGATTGGTTTTAGTTATAACAAGACAATCCCAAGAGTCAGAATGAAATAAAGCAATCTGAAAGATTAAAGAGGTGTTATCAAAAATAAATTACATTTTTCAAGTTAAAAGAAACACTGCTATGAAGGCTGAGAACCAAGCAGCCTTTCAATAGCTGCATTGATGTCTCCTCCTGTTGCTATTAGTGCTTGTAAATTTGCTTCACGGTTCAGAAAGCCCATTGCGCTCAGCTGTTCCAGTTGTTGCTGAAATCGAACTTCTGGATTTTGTAACTGCTAAGAACAAAATTTCAAGCTATAAAACCATCATACATATCTAGCAAAATACACAATTTAAACACAGCTGGGTTCTGCACCACTCTGTCTTTTCTAATTTTTGACTACACCTTTTTCAAATTCCAAAAAATATATTCAGATAAATTCAATTAGCAACTAAAGAAATTTTTTTTAACAAGTCAGCAACATCAAATTATCTACACTTACATACCATTCCTGAACTCCAGGAAAAACTGACTAATAGTGTAGGAGTCACATTAAATTGGGTGCATGTATGTCCATGAACTGTTTCTTAAAGTTATGCATATAGCTGGTTTTTTAAAACAAAACAGAGCTCAACCTAGCAATGTGGAACAGAAAAGATTATGTTGTTGTCAGCAATCTTGAACATCACAGGCTTTATTTTTCTTCAACATAAAGATCATCACTTTTGTAACACTCTCAAGTATCTGTTGACTAAAATTACCAAAATCCTGATTGTTGGAAAGCTTGAGTCTAAGGCAAACTCTTAGCTGTGCTTTATAGGAAGATCCCGATTACACAACATCATGGCAAAATCCTGCATTGTCTTAATGATATGACCTTCAGAGGCATGTTTTTCATCAGGACAGAGGATGTATTTTTTCAGTATTTACTTGCACAGCTGCAATAGCACTTTTAAGCCTCTTCTACTGACCTTTGACCAGAAGCATCCAGTGGGCTCTCCCCTCAACTACCTGTCTTCTTTCCAGTGTTTTACAATTAAGAATAAAAGCAAAAATATCTAAATATAATGATGTACATTACCTGAGCATTTGCACCAGCAAGTGCCTGCAACATCTGGTGGACAAACTGTTGGTGACCAGGTTCAGCAGTTCCTGAAGCCGGACTTGTATTTTCAGTGGAAACAGAACTAGGTACAGTGGATGCTGTAGGAGTTCCACTGCTTCCCCCTCCACCCAAACCAGGATTAAACCTGTATAAATTACAGGAAAAGAAATACACCACTTGAATAATAAACACTAGTTTGTCTCTTCTCAGTTATTAGTAGGTACAAATTCTGTGAAAGAGGATAACAATTTGAGTAAAGTACTGAGAAAAAGCCTAGAGTTATCACTGTTTAGAATTGCACAGCAGACAAATATGACAGGTTCTAAAAATAATATGGTTAAACTAAAAAAGGCAAGAGGATGACTCTTTAATAAAGACTGTATAAATCTCTAAATCTAAAAAGAGTAACCAAAACAAGGGAAGACTTCCTGTCCAAATTTGTAAGATCAATTCTTACCCTGGTATAAGCCCCGGTGCTTCTGTTGCTAATGTCTGCAAGCCCTGCTGAATCTGTAGCAGAGCCTGCATTGCTCTGGGGTTTGACATAGCTGATAACGTGTCAGGATTCTGCATCTAAGAGAAGGAGAGAAACTCTTCAGTAAATGTAGATGTTTCAAGGTAATTTTTATCACTAGATGTCTCATAGAATCTGACATAATTTCAGAATTTGGCTTTTGATTTTGTAGTTGAATATTACAGGAAATCCTTCAGTTATTTTTCTTCTGTGAGAAAACTTCCATAGAAGGTGATGAAGGAACTCTCTAGATGTAGAAAAAGCCTCTTGAACAAGAATTATACAAGGAGAAGTATTTTTCATTACAGATTTCAATCTTTCAAAGGCTACAAGACTGTGTTAGTACATTATTTTAGAATTAGTCTCCTATATCATACTACTGGTAAGCAACAATGCTGAATATGACGAAACTTGACCAGAAAATACATAAAAAGTACTAAGTTCCTTTTTCCTAGCAGATTTCAGATCAGAGCAATTTGGTTGTGACTATTTGTACATATCTTATCTGTATTGCTCTTACAGCCTGAAATGTGAACAAACATACTGGAAAATATACCAACAAGCAAATGTATATTCAAGGGTTCTCTGTCTACTGTGACTTCAATTACAAATAGGCTTTCACATAATCAAATAATTTAGAAGGCAAATCCTTTTCATTTCTGAAATTAAACATCCAAAACCCTAATTATTTTAGACACAAAACTAGTGGCTTATGCTCACCTTTGCATAGAGATGCAACAGGTACACAAAAAGCAATGTTTCAGTTACAAATAACATGGTTTTGGTAATCAGACCAAAGAGCAGATAGGCTTACTGATCTGGGCAGCTTTCCCTTGGCAACTAGACCAGGTTACTTTTGCTGAAAAACCACATTTGATTAATGTGGAAATCACAGATTAAGGTGAAACTTCCCCTACTGCAGAGCAGAACTGCAGCACAGGACATGAAGAACTCTGATCTGAGTGCCTAAAGAGACTTCAGAAGAGCAATTAATATTCTCCATTAATTTCTTGGACTTTTATCTTCATGATAGCTAAAAGTCAACAAATCAATGAATAGTATATGGAAAAGATTACTCAGATTTAAAGAGATAAACATTTTGGGGTCTCCAAATAAAGCTGCTGCAACTACTTTATGAAAATATTTAAATCTTGACTTACAGTCTGATATTTGAAGCTGTCTTACATAAATGCTGGCCCAACTACTCTTAGAGCACTTAGGTGACCTGGATCTCATCTCTATTAATCTTATTAATTCCAGTAGCAGCCATTCTCCCTAATTCTGCTGGGCAATTGCCCTTAATTGCAAAAGATGTCTTCCATTATGCAGATTCCATGGTTTCTGTCCCCCAATCCCATAATATAAACACAGGTAGATAAGCAAGAAAACATAAGTTGAAATATTACCAACATTCTGAGAATATCCAGCTATTTCTCCACACCTCACCTTCTAATGCTGTTAATCATCTAACTTCAGACAGTGAATACAACAGAGAACTATTTGTGCAGATAAATTCCAAGGTGCTAATAACAGAAGGAGATACACAAAGGAAACAGATATGATTCCTACTGTGCATTCATTAATTACCAATTATTCACAGATTTCAAAACATAAATGTACTGGCTCCTCCGCTACTACTGAGTCATTACAAAGCAGTGGCAATACATTCATGTGGTTCAAACAATATAAACTATCTTCTGAACACTGAACATGCTACTGTAATTCATGTACGTGCTCATTATTTTACTCATAAAACCTCCTGTGTGCAGCCATATCTTGGCAATGCATATTTACACTGATTTGCAAGGACTGCCTAATAACAGAACTCATGCAGTGGATTAGCTTTTTAATTCCTACAAAAATCTTGCTTGCTTCTATTTAGGAAACAAGTACTACTACACACTGTGGCAACTAATACTAAACAGATACCTGGGCTGCAAACACAATGTTGGTATGGGCGGAAGACAATGGTGGAGCAATCTTTCCAGGAAAGACTTCAGAACCCACTTCTTTTAAATTAGCTAATGACTTGGGTCTTTCAAGACATGCTCAAGGACCTCTTTTCCAAATATTTAATGCAGGTTTGAAGAGGCATGAGAAAAGCATACTGAAACTTTAACTAGTATTGTGAAAAGTACTATTCTTTTTAATTTCTGAAACAAATTTTGTCACAAACAGGTGTTTTCTGGCTGGTGTGCAGTAAGAGCATTTATTCCTTCTAAGCAAAGAAGCAAGAACAAATCTTAGTGGTTATGCTAGTCACAGACAACAGGTTTAACTTTTGAAAGAGATGGAGACATTAGCAAGAATATTATTAAGGGACAATCTAACTTAGTATCTAAAGCTAATGAGAATATATTACAGAATCTAGCTACTAGCCAAATCAAAGACAGGTGCCAGTTTACCAAATATATTGCTCATTGACTTGAAGACCTTTATTAAGAGCTAGTATCGCATCTTACTTGCTGAAGAAAAGTTGGAAGTTGTTGTCTCATTTGTTCCTGAAGTTGAGGATTTCCAACAAATAAAGGATTATTCAACATCATCTATAGGACAAAAATATTTAACTTCAAAGATCAAGCAGTAAAAACCACTGGAGGTTTTAAAACAACTACGGATAATACGGAGAAAAAAGTAATAGTCTATGAAAATTACCTCACAGAATAATAATCATCTACTCCTTTGGCCAAAACTTTCTGGGGGTGTATGTTGTGGGTTTTTTTTTTTTGTTGTTGTTGTTTTTGTGGGGGTTTTTTGCTGGTTTTTGTTTTTTTGTTTACTTTTGCTTCATTGGTTCTTTTTTTCTTTTAAGTGAATGGATTTCCAGATACAAATAAGGCAGTCTTGCAAAGTATTACAAGAAAATACTTTTCTGTTCAGCCTCCACTACAAATCTAAGTAATAGCTTTGCTGTAAACATCACCTGAAGTCAAGGATATTTCCAATGAGTATTTAACTCAGAAGAGGTAATATTTTTTCAATGTCAGTTCAGAATCTGAGCTTCAATATTACCACTTTAAATAAAAATTCAAAGGACTTCTACAACACCATTCATAAAACAGCATCTCTACTTTTACAGTGAGGCACAGGTCAAAAATAAGAAGTTAAAAACAGAATAATATCTAGATACGGCACCAAGTCCCCTCCCTTCACTTCCCCCAGACTAGAGGGGGTATTTATTTACCATTAGCTCTACCTTAATTCATAATGAAAGCACTTTTTTGTCTGTTTCTAATGCTGGATCGCAAGTTTAGGGCTGTGCAAAACATACACAACCCCATAATGATTTCTGAAGCATGATATCCAACTACAAATTGAAGAAACTCAAGGCAACAAATTGTTGAAAGTAAGCAGCTAATAATTTCAGTAATTACTTAGGAATTAACACTTAAAATTGGCCCATTTGCCACAGGCAATTTTTGAGCTTTTGGATTTTGTCTTTTTTTACTTTAATACACAGAATATATTACTATACTAAATGCAATTTACCTGTACTGCAAGATCGGGATTCTGGCTTAACGATTGCATCATGCTTCTCATGTAGGGTGCAGACAACATATTCTGCATAAGTTGTGGGTTTTCTGTTATCTGCTGTAATAAGCTCTGCATTCCTGGTGTATTGAACATACCAGCTTAAAGAAAAGGTAAAGGGTGCATTGGTAAGCATTCAGATTATCATCAGAGAAAGTAGACTATCTAAACCCAGAATATAACCACTTGGTTTTCATGAGTTTAAGACCCTGAAACTTACCTCAGTGCTGTTCTAGTTACACAGACACATCTACCGTAGAAGTTAAGACAGATGTACCCAACACACACTCCCATCAACTATTCACATTATTACCTGTTTTCTCATTTGCCTTAGAACAGAAAAAATACAACAATTCATCCGCAGAATCACTATCTTTGTTATTTTAAGTATTATTATCACTTAGATTATTTTTCCTATTTTTTTATTTTTTCTTCAGAGGACTTTAATAATAGTTCTACAAAAGCAAATAGCAATAAAAACTGAATCAAAAACTCTCTGCCCAATGAAAGAATAATTTCAATAAGTTTGCAAGTATGTACAAATATATACAGTTGCAGTAACAAACACACCTCCAAGCCCAGGTCCCAAATTTGGTCCAGTTGAGCTCTGTCCCGTTGTGCCTGAAGTGCTACTTTCGTCATTACTGCTGCCACTGCTCTCACCAGTAGTGCCAGTATTTGTTGTGGAAGTCTGTGAGCTGGACTGAGGAGCCCACGGATTTGGCAGAGGATCTCTATTTTCTGTACGAGATGGCTGATTGTCGCCTCCTGCTGATGCATTGCTTACTAAAGAAGCAAATGGGTTACCTCCAAACTACAAAGGAAAGCAAACACTTATCATCTACAAATTTATAAATCATACATAAAAATAAACGTTTATGGCTTCTAATCAATTATACTCACCAGTCTACAGTAATTAAATGTAAATATTATGAAAATACACTAACACTGAGAGATACTAGGACTCCCTCAAAAAATTAAATCACATTTCAAAAATTGTTGCTACTGCACTGTATTTTGATCAGAGTAAAATTGTGTCTTGCACACTGATTTCTGACTTTAAAATCTTTTATTCTTCTCACCTTCAGTTAAAAGTTACTAAACACACCCTTAAAAGGATTTTACTGGACCTCCAAATCTTAAGGCAGTGAATTAAAGGAATTAAAAATTAAGTAACAAATGAATCTATTAACTTTAAAATAGCTTCTCAATCACACAAAGTAATAGCTGTATTTCTTCAGGCTCAGAAGAACACGATTTTTAAAGGTCTTTCAAGAGTAAAAGGCTACATTACAACTTCAAGTTTCAAAAATTGTTTTGTCAAACAAACATCTGGAAATTTTAATTACTTAAATTATTTTATTAAATATTAAGTATTTCCTTTCTGTGTCATTTGTAATCTTTTCTCACCTGTTCCTGTGCTGCATTCAGTATTGGCTCCTGGATGTCTGTGTACATACGCCGCAAGGCATTGTATCCCCCTGGTATACTTTCAAGGTTGCTCAAAGCTCGATCCTGGTTTCGCATCATTTCCTGCATCATTGCAGGGTTTCTAGCAAGTTCTAGTGTCTAGAGAAGCGGAATGTTTAATCTGTATTAATAAGAAATCCATTCTAAAGTGAAAACGTCAGCATTTGGTAATATCTCAGTTATCCCTGTCTAACCCAGTTTAAAAGTATGATTAGAGCTGAATCAACCTGTCAGCACAGTGTGAATCAACACAATTCAGTATTTAGCCAGCATTCTACCCTAATTCTAACTATTTCTAACATCGCTACAGCAGGCAACCTATAATATGAAATTTAAAATAAATACATAGAATTTCAAAAGCATCTGTTAATCTCTTTGGGTTTTGCCACACAACATATCTTATCTATCTTCTAATTTAAAAAGCATTTAGAAGTACCCACAGTGAGACACAATGAAAATATGCAGAAATTTTGAGAATTACAACTTATGGTAAAATTCCTGGCTAGACAACAGGTTTCAAGGGCAGACAGCCACATCCAGTTCTAGCCTCAGAAGACATGTATTCAGTGACTTTCAAAAACCATGCTGCAGATTTTCTGAAATATCAGTCTATTTTGGACATTAACAACAAGAAATGTAGACACTGGCTGTCTATGGCAACCTTTTATGGATTTCGAGTAAGACTAAATACTTAAAGAATGTTCACAAACTCCATAAGTATGTCCAATTCTGGCTCTGTTGTTTACGTAACAGCAGAATCACAAGTCATGAACTAATGGATCTTTCTACATACCTGTCTCATTATATCTGGATTATTCAGCATGTGACTGATTTCTGGATTTCTCTGTATCAGTTGCTGCATTTGAGGGTTAGCCATAATTAACTGCCTCATAAGGTCAGGATTTGAAAGCATGCTCTGAACAAATGGATTCTCCATTATCTGAACCATCATTTCCGGGTTGGACATAAGTTGTCGTTGCATCTGACTTTGCAGCTCCGAGAAGTTTGAAGTATTTAAGCCCAGGCTACTCAGGCCTGCCAAACCTCCAAGGCCACCTTCAAGAGGATGAAAAAATGTCACTGACTATACTTCCAATCACATCCAGATTTTTTCTAAATACAAAATACTTGAACATATCTCATACTTCAAAATAACAAAAATGAATGGAAAGTCCCATCTTTTTCAAGGCTGTTCAGTAGTTACTCACTCAGGGTATGCTTCCTTAAAGAATAAGACACATAACTAAAAATCCAACAAACTTTATTTCTAAATAAAATTTGTTATAATTCTAACAACTTTTCTTCTCATTTTCCAAAGCCAAGATACAAGAAATGTTTGAGTCTGGGGGCTTTAGGTCCATGTCCCTCCAGCAACATTTAACAACTGCATTTGTAATAATAATTTATCTGTCTCCTCTTGGTTTTAAACTGTAACTAAGAGTGAACTCCCAATATGAATAATATTTCCAATTCCACTTAAATGTAAAACCTGTGTTCCTCCTGGTAATAACGCAAGAGCAAATTACATTTTGAATTTTTGTGCTTTGCTGAATCCAGATAAAAAGTTTCAGAAGGTACTAAACAGACCAAAGAATGATTAAAACCTAAGAAATCATCTGCTTACAATAATTGGCTTTTCCAATTCTACTTCTTCCTCACTCCCAAAAGCAAAAAAAAAAAGACAAAAAAGAATGAAACAAAACCCCACCACAACTATGGAAATAGATTATAATTTTTAAGTCAACTGACTGCAGCCTCTTCATTCATAGAAGTGAAGACTTGTAATACTATCAGACTTGAAACCTGAGAAATAGTTAATTGTAAGATTAGCAGCAATTTTGTTGCTTTTATTGCAGATCTTGGCTTCATGTCACAGGTCCTTCTATGATTCATCTGTATTCAGATAACAGGAATTCAGATGCACTATTAAGTAGAACAAAGACATTGGAAGGCATTTCATTACCCTTAGTGCCAAAATATAACATCAGTAGCACCTTACCACTGAAGGTGAAACAGTACAAATCTTGTAGTGAAGTTTGTGGTGAAACACTGGAACAGTTTATCCAGGGAGGTGATGGATGCCCCAACTCTGGAAACATTCAAGGTCAGGTTGGATGGGGCTCTGAGCAACTTAATCTGTTTAAAGATGTCCCAGCTAATTGCACAGAGGTTGGAATAGATGACCTTAACAGGTATCCCTTCCAACCCAAACTATTTCATCATTCTCTATAAAACTAATGAAACAACTCTCCTCTGGTAACTTACTGATCAGAAACCTTCTACAGCCAATTCAATATATAACTGTAATTAATTTTTTGGCTGATGTGTTTGTTTGGGTTTTGTTTTTCAAGTTTTGTCTACATTGGGATAAAGCTTTGGGCACAATTAGTGGAATTCAAGAGAAGATACCCACCATTCCACCTAACAAATATTCTTACCCAGGCCAAAGGGATTACTATTTGTTGACGCTGGTGTTGAGGTGCTACTGCTTGATGTTGATGTGGTAGCAGAACTCCCAGACGTGTTTGCCTGTTGAGTTGGGTGGTCTTGTGATCTAAAAAAGCAATTTTAAAACTTTATAGAGTGTAACAAGTTATTTTAAGTAGTGCTATTTGTAGCTAAAGCATTATACTTCAGAATCTTAAATTACATTTTGATTCTTGGTCATAACCCGGGGATAACCCCAGTTATCCCTACATGGCTTCCTGTAATAAATCTTTCTGAGACACCTGTTATTTCATGAGTTTTTCAGAACAGTAGTTTTAAATAGTGAAAAAACAGATAGGTATCACTGCAGCCATTACCACCTTCTCATCCTACCCCATGACGCTTGCCAATTAATTGTTTTCTCTGTCGTTACCTTGCTTTAAGGATCCATGTCTTATTTCACTATATTCACATACTACTGATAACATGCCCACACTTTCAAGAAATAAAGCCTGACAAATTTAATGTGGAATTTATTTCATGCCACATCTCTAATAGGATGCTTTATTGAATGTGAAATTCAGTTGATGTCACATTTTATTAGAAGACAAATCTCAAAACTCTCAAACCTTTAAGACTTCAAAAAAAAAGCTGATAATGAGATCACATGACACTAAAGCCAGCATAATTTAGCACAGGCACTAAAGCCTGCCCAGGCTGTGTATTCATCACACTCTTCTACTGCAGGCAGAAAGATAAATGCTGCCATGCAGTAAAAGAGATCAAGGAATTGAGCTTGAATAAAGTTAACCTGACCTCTCTATTCTAAAGAAAAGAGACTGCTTTGAAATCCAAATCAATTCTCCACTGTAGTTCAACAATCAATAAATGCCTATATTTCCAGTACTACAGAATAAAATACTTTTTAAAACTATGAATTCAGACATCACAAAAAGATTTGAGAATTTGGCAGTACACTAGTCTCCATACTTCAGTTCACCTTGGAGGACCTTTCTCCTATAACATAACTCTGCAATTGCTCCACTCAAGCAAACATCAGAAAAAAAAACCCAACCAAACAAAAAAAACCCCAGAAAGATGCTTTAAAAGCATAGATTCTCCTGAGGTTTCTAATAGTTCTTTAACTTAATTATCAGCAACTGCAAACTTTGAACACAAGATGACTATAACTGGCCAAGCAGCTGTAACTTGAATGAGAAAGATGGTAGGCTGTATACTGCTTGTGATTCTCCTTCTAGAGTTTTCTTTCATCTAGAAAACACACATCTTTCCTCCATAAGCAAAAGAAAAACAACAAGCATCAAATCCTATTTGTATTTTCAACTGAGAAACTATTTTGAGAAGCAATTATACTGCTTCATGTAATAGACATGAAAGGTTGTCAAAAGTGTGACAGAAAAGTAGGTGACACTGAAAGCTGAAGTACAATAGTGCTCCAGTGCAAATTAGGGCATATTCTTGAAGATAATGGTTCATGTGAGTTTCAAGCCTTTGAGCTTCAGTCTTTCAGCAATATGTCAAGTGCACATCGCCTTTTACACCCATTTTGCCATTATGTTTCGTCCCAGCACTTGCGAACAAATGACACCTGTTGACCTAGAACTCTATTCAGAAATTCTGTTTATCTTCACTGCCCATTGCTAATCACTCACTGCTACTCTGACACTGTAGAAGATAGGTTACAAGAGTGCATTGAAAGTCTGTAGCAGTCTAGAAAATGTAGCACAGTAGAAAAAGTAATCTTTTTTTTAACAAGCATGTGGCTGGGATATATGAAGATTACCATTTTGAAATTACAGATCTAATAACATAGTTTACAAGGGAAAAGATCAGTTTCAGATCCAGTTTTGGAAAATAACTTTTACTTTTTCAGATACACAGCAGCAACAGTAACAGCGAGAGTCAACAGAAAAGTAAATGGCAGAGTGTAGCAAAGTAGCTGGGAACAAATCAATCTCGATACTCATGGCCAAAAATCAGCATGTTCCAGGCCACACTGGCAGGGTCTAAATCTTGTCTTTCAAGACAAGCATAAAATATAGATATTTTAGCAAGAATACAACTGAGATATTTCAGGACAATGCTGATTTACATTCTCTCCAGCAGGTTTTACCATGTTTTTAGTTTATTCAAGTAAAGCTAGTAGGTGAAAACTTCAATGCATCATTTGAACACAGCACATGTACATGCAAAGGATCTGTAGTTCTTAGCTCATACTTCATTTTCCCAATGATTAAAACATTCTGCAGATAGTGGAAATACAGCCTTCCAAAATGATTCAAACAAAAGCCGGCATGAGTGAAGACATGGAGTGCAATGCTGATAAGACAGATGCAGGAACACTGAAAATTCCCCAAAAGCCACAGGTTTGACATTTGCATTCCTGAGGGTTCCTCTGCTCAGAGGCAAAGTGCAAGAAGGTCCAAGAGGCTGGCAGGGGTATTTCAGTATGTATAGCTACAGTAGGTCCAAACTATAAACCCTCTGAAGACTGTGCAAGTCAAAAGCATCCTTCTAGTAGTACTCATGGTGCCTCTCTGTCACACTTAAGACGGTAGGCAAAAAAAGCAACAAAAAAAAAATAGCAACAGCAGAACACTCACTCAGATGCAAAAGGAACAGAACTGCAGTATTGCCTAATTCCGTATTCAAGACTGGCATGGCTTGTATCAGTCTAAATTTCAGGTGGAGGAGGCAAAGGGCAGGAAAGGGAGACCTCTGAGAGTACAAACATGTATTTTGACTCCAGGACAGGGAACATAATCCTTCCAGGGCATGAATATAGAACTGAAGGTATCAATTTCAAAAAGTACCTACATTTAATGGTAATGATACTAATTTCAACAAGAATTTGTATTTAATGCTAATGTTAGTAGCCAGCCTTTGTGTCTTGGTAAGGCCTTGAAAGGGAAAGCCTACTTCTGTTCTCTCCTACACTTCATGCTCTTTCCTTCAACATAAAGACATTTTCACATCAGAGGGGATCCTCACCATAAACAGAAAAGATCTAAGTAGAACAGAAGCAAAAGCACTTTCACTCTAAAAGAATGAACATGTTATTGACTGCTTTTGGGGGATCTATTGCTCTGCTTTTTGGAAAGATTTTTGGGCACTTCACACAGCTGGAACAAAAAAAAAAGCTATATAACAAAAACCAACCAACCAAAAAAAAACCAAAAAAACAACCTAAAGAAAAAGTAAAAGGAATGTATTTAAAAACATAAATCAAAATAAAATATGAGATAAATTTTAAAAAACAGTGTAATTTCATAACCTCACTGTTGTCCTGCAGTGGCTGAAACTAAGGAGCTGACTAAGGTGATTTAGTCAAATCTAGTTTTGCCCAACAGAAATGCAAAGCACTTTAACTTCTCTAGAGGTAAACAGAAGACCACTTGTTATTAAGATTACCTGTTCTGTGTTTTGATAACCAGGTGAACAGTGAGTCCATCATGAATTCCATGCTGAGTCAAAGTATCTTGATCTTTTAAAATTTTTCCAGCAAATATCAACACAAGCTGATCAGTGTGGGACTTGAAACGCTTAGAGATTTCTTCCTTGAACTAAACAAAAAAATTAGTATTATACATTTATATAATTAAATAGTGAACTGCAATTTTTAAAAATAATTTAAGAACAAGCTGGTTTTTACATTTGCTATATTACCTCACTTGTACTGCATATTCTCTATTTCACAAACTAGAACTACTTTTGTTTCCTGAATTTCTTTCTGTCCATAGGAAGATGGAAAATATTTCTTTGTCATTCAGAAAAGGAAATCTGAAGAATTTCACATCTAGATCATTAGTTCCATAAGTCATGACAACGAAAATCTAATTTCTGTTGAAGACTACTGTGACTTCAATCAAGCATGCATCCATGATGTAAATACATACTAGTATATACAGTACTTAAACACACCCATACGTATACATGGTAAAGTACGCCTATAATTACATACTAGCAAGTACACATATACAAATGTGCATACCACTGAAGCCATCCATTGCTGAAGAATTGATGACACAATGCAATAAAGAGGATAATCTGTCTAGACTTTTGCTTGAACTGAGTATACTCTCTCCTTAGATGTATTTTTGCTGCCTTCGTTCCATGTGTCAAAACTAGCATTCCTTTCCACACAGACAAAAGTTATACTTTAGGTGGCTCTGCTTTCTCATTTAATGCATGACACAGCTACATAAAATGAAGTTACAGCTCAGGTCACAGTGAATGAACACATTTTTCATTCATCATTGAGAAATCATTACCATACAAGACCTTTTACAAAAGAGACTGCTTACTAAGCGTTAACTGTCAAAAACACCTTAAATAATAGATTAGCTTCATACACTTTATTTTTTCTTTTTTCCTGAGGCAGAGGAAGAAAATCCTCTACACACTTGGAAGACAAAGTCCTAAAAACATTGTTGAAAAGGAATGTAAAGATCATCTAGTTCCAACTCCTCTGCCAAGGGCAGGGACGCCTTTCCCTAGACCAGGTTACTCAAAGTCCAGTCTGGCTTTGAACGCTTCCTGCAATGGGGCATCCCCACCTTCTCTGGGCAACCTGTACCAGTGTCTTCACAGTAGTATTTCTTCTTAATATTAAAGAGGGTAAAGTGATTACGCTCATATTATCACTCCATGCCCTCATAAAAAGCCCCTTACCATCTTTCATGTAATTCCCTTTTGGCCACTGAAAGGCAGCTCTAACATCTCCCTGGAGCTTCTCTTCTCCATGATGAACAAAAGTGTCTCAACCTGTGTTGACAGGACATGGACTCCAGCCCTCTGATCATCTTGGTGGCCTCCTCCCAGCTCACTCCAACAGCTCCATGTCTTCCTCTGCCAGGGTCCTCAGAGCTGGATGCAGCACTCCAGGTGGAGTCTCAGCAGAACAGAGCAGAGGGGCAGAATCCTCCTCGCTTACCCTGCTGGCCATGCTGCTTTGGATGCACCCTGGGATATAATCAACTTTCTGGGCTGTGACAACACATTGCTGGGTCATGTCCAGCCTCTTATCCACCAGCACCCCCAGGTCCTTCTCCTCAGGGCTGCTCCAAATCCATCCTGCCCGTATTTGTATTTGGGATTGCCCCAAACCAAGTGTAGGACCTTGCAATTGGCCTTGTTTAACTTTATGAGGTTCACATGAGCCCACCTCTGAAGCCTGGCAAGGATTGGCTTCCCTTTCCTCCAGCACCTCATTCATCCCACACTGATTGGCACACATTGTTGGGGTGCACTCAATCCCAATGTCTATGTTACTGACAAAGATGCTAAACAGTGCTTGCCTCTGTACCAATCCCTAAGGACACCACTCATCACTGGTCTCCACTTGGACAATGAGGCATTCACCACAACCCTTTAAATTCATTATTCACTGAGTAGTCCATTTGTCAAAAACATGGGTCTCCAGTTTAGAGCCAAGTAACGTGGCACAGTGTCAAACAATCTACATATGTGCAGGTAGATGATAGCACTCACTTTTCCTTCATCTGTCACCACTGCAACACCATCAAAGGCAACCATCACATTTGTCCTTAGTGAAACTGTGTTGAATGTCACCAATCTTCTCCTTACCTTCCATGTTCCTTAGCATAATTTCCAGGAGGTTCCGTTCCACAATCCTGCCAGGCACTGAGGTAAGACTGACCAGCCTGTAGTTCCCTGAGTCTTCCCAATTTCCCTTCCCAAAAATATATGGATGTTCTGTTTCACCTTTTCCAGTCTGTGGGAATTTCCACGGAGAACTGCTACAACTTTTCAAATATGATGGCTAGCGGCTTAGCTACTTTCTTGCCCAGTTCCCTCAGGGCCCATGGATGTATCTCATCAGATCACAAGGGTCTTGAACCTGATCTTCTACAGGGGATGGTTCTTCATTCTCCCAGCCCCTTCTCTCACCAACTTGGATAGTGTGGCTGAAGGATTTGCCAGTGAAGGGAACAGGATGGGCATCAGACAGTGGGTGCTGAGCCACTGTACTGTGTATCATTTGTTTCTCTTGGGTTTTACTCCTCTCTCCCTCTTGTTCATTTCTATGATGATTGTTATTTTTACTACTGTTGTTATTTTAAATATTAAACTGTTCTTATATCAATCCCTGAGTTTTACTCTTTTTTTTTTCTGATTCTCTTCCCCATTTCACTAGGCAGGAAGAAAGTGAAGAAGCAGTTGCATGATAATTGCTGGCTGGGTTTAAACCATGACAGATTATGATGATGGAAATTCAGGCAGTTCTAAAAAAATAATTTTTTGGTGTTGCTTAGGTCTTCAGTTTGCACAACATAACTAAGTAACAGTATCTGTAAATTACAGTTAAAATACTTCATCCACTGGGGAAACCAAAAGCCGAAGGAGTTCAGCGTCACTGGCTGGAAATGATGAGCATTTCTATCCAACTCTCCTAATGCAGTGACTCATCCTTTTAATTATCATGTAACAATTCAACCAACAATGTCAGCTCATTTGATTTATTGTTCTAAATACAAGTTTTACTTCATTGCAATAATACTACAAAGGTATTCAGTCATATCTGGGCATAGAAAAGAACTCAAAGTTATGAAAATAATGTTTCAACATACTTGAAACCTAGTGTATTCATGGAAACTAGTTCACTGTACTCCTCTAGTAACTGAATACAGTAACAATAATGTAAAATCATGTCAATTTTTTTACATGATTATTACAAAAATACGTGGAGAGAAACAAGTGGGAATCAGACTAAAACACTGGACTAATGTCTAGACAGAGGCCTGGTTTTCCTAGGGAGAAAAGTAAAAAGCATTCTTAACCAGAGTGAGCTGATTCAAGGTAACATTCTCCTCAAAGCATGGCAACTTGAAGATTTTAAATTAATTAGAACAAATTCAACGCTTCTGTTGTTGAAGGACCTTGCCCAAATTGCCATTTTACCTCAAGTTAACTTGTTTACAAAAAATTTTTTTTTGCTTTGAAATACAAAAGCAGTATAGTTTTTCATGTTGAGAACACTCACTGGCTTTTTAGCAGCACACCAGCACTTCTTGTGCATACTTTCAATTCCATGCCAAATACCCTTATCTTCACAGAACTTTAAAATAATCACCATTAAAAAAAGTTGCCTTTTTTTCTTCACTGTTAAAAAAAACCCCAACTCTCTTAAGCAATCTAGGACTTTCCATACACCTGCTCAACTTGATTGCCTCTCAAGTTTTTTCAAGGTATGGATGGACACCATAAAATGCTAATGTCTACTGTTGAACAAAATGCATACTGGTACCTGACAAAGTAAACACTTTGTCACCAAACAAAGCAAATATCTGAATGCACATGAAGTAGAACAGCTGACTAAACCAGATATTGTTTTGCACTGTCACTTTGCAGAGCAGATCCATAATTTAAACATTAACCTATTAACATCTGACAACCTGGCCTTGCAAGAACCTGGTAAAGTGTTATTCCAGGTAAAGTGAAAGTATTAACATTCAAACTCTCCTTTGACATATTACAACCATATAATGTTTCAAAAGCTTCTGTTGACTCATTTTATGATATCAAAACCACTAACTGTAATGATCTTATTATCCACTCACAAAACAAAGTGTTGTGATAAAGTAATAAAAGGAAGAAAACAAATAAATTAAAAAATACTTTCCCAAATTCTCTCAACCTCAGCTTAGTAAGTCATACGTAAAAATTAAATTACAGTAACAACCTGGAAGAGGTCTTGGGCAATTAACATCCAATGAACATCTGTTTTTTTAACAGAAAACAGGTCCCTAAAAAAACTTTTATAAGCTACAGCTTTCTTTTATACAACAGAATTAATGGTTACAGGTCATCTTGACCCAAGAAGTAAGGAACCAAACACACTCATGGCCACAGCTGATAGCTGTGGTTTCCTTTTGGGATGAATCATGACCTGGACGTCTTACGACTGACTTAAAGTGAGTCAGTAAAAACAGGGTTTCATTGCACAACTCTAGGACACTATACAGGAAGGAAGACAAGAATTTGTCATTTCAAGCAGGAATACAACAGATAAAGCATAGCTAGAAAGAACACACAAAATAACGTTTCTATGTAAGAGTACTGTCCTTCATGTCTTAATGGAGTTACTATCTTATGGTAGCTTTGCCGATGACCCATGCTAGTTTCATAATAAAATTATTTCCTCAAATGTCTGCAATCAAATCAAACTCACAGAAAAACCACATTTCAAAACACAAAGTCAGATTCTTGATGAGCTTAAAAGACTAGCAGCCCATAAAGGGCGAACTGCAGCAGCACATGGTAGTGTAAAGTTCTAGCCATTTCTATTCCCTTCAGGGATTCTTCAACATGCCACTACCAATTCTCAAAGTCTTTGTTGGAGAAGCAACGCTTCTCCCCTAAAAGCACTTGGCAATCTACTCTCCCCCTGTTTGCTAGTACCTGATCACTGGCAAAGCAACACAAACTGAAAATAAGCACTGTCCTGGCTCAGGCCAAGAAAGGGTTTATGTGGAAACCCAGGGCACCGGGAATATTTCTCTGTCTGCTCTGGGGTGCCCTGACCCCCAGGGGAGCACTGACT